TTGGAGGCAAATCATGCCAAACACTTGGTGTTCCTGCATCCTGGCCTGAAACAGGGGGACTAGGAGTAGGAGTAGTGGTAGTGGTAGTGGTAGTGGTAGTGGCAGTAGTAGCAGTAGTATAGTTGTTGGAGCAGCAGCAGCAGCAGCAGCAGCAGCAGGAGCAGCAGCATTAGTAGTAGTACAAGACATCACGAATCTGACAAAGTTTAGAATGACCTGCTTGTGGACGCGACAAGCAGTGGTATTGGAATCGGAGTTGGAGCAGCCCCGGCTATTCCGTTGTTACGGTCGTTGCGACATCGACATTGTCGTTGTTCAATTGCTAACCTGCCGTCAAAGGAAGGAACTGAAGCCCAGCTTGAATCTATACAGATCTGGTTCAGGAGGTAGTGCGACTTGGGGGAAGTGTGGGTGCCTTTGTCATGCTTCAGGAGCCATGCCGTAGCGGGCAGCTCCGACAGTGCGGCCATGCCGTGCCTGTGGGTTCAGGAACTCACCTCGCAGATGCGTCTGCAAACTATGCCCTGTGTGTCTGTGTGTTTTGGGCGGGTGGCCTTGTGGTAGTTGTGGCGGGTGCTGGTCTGAGGCTGAAGCAGGTTGTGGTGATGCCTCAGCAGGCAATGAAGAGCTGGCTTGGGAAGGAGGCGGCAAGCGCTGACGCGCTTTAATGATAAAGCCGTCACTGCTCCTTGGGCGCATCGCTGGCATTCAGGCTGCGATTGCGCAACATGTCGAAGCAATTTACCTACATTGACTTCGTGTCTTTTCAACACTGCGCTGCGCAGCACAGTCCTGGCATTAATGCTAGAGATGACTTCAAACAAGGTCTTACTGCTTAATTACGTTGCCCAGGTATCATAGCACCCCGAATGAGCCGCCGCAAGTTACACATCTTAACCTGTTGACTCCTCACTCGCCTTCGCAACCTCGACACGTCACGACATACATGTAGATACTCTGTGAGCAAGAAAGCCCAACACCAAACTACGATCCCTTTTTTTCGAAGCCATTCACTACTCCAAATCAGCTCACACCAGATGCCCTGAGGATAGCTTAGAGGGTGCCAGACTTGCAGATCGGTTTCGGAGTGTTACTGAGTCAAGTCCCTGGCCACCAGACGTGAAGCCGAGCACCCTCACAGGAGTTGATAGAAGTAGCAGTAGAAGTAGGAGGAGGAGAAGAAGGAGGGAGGATGAGGAAAAGTGGTAGGCACGAAGACTAGGCGTCAAGAGTAGTCTGCAAGTAAGCAACCACGGTAGTAGTTGCATGAATCAACAGTATATCCTTCATAGCATCAAAGGTATCTGCAATCATCGTGAAATCAAGTAGCGGCGAGTTCTTGCTTCATTCACCATAATTTGAGCCTTCGTCAGAACAGCGGATTTCACGAGACTGAGTCACTGCATTGTGCAGCACTGGCTGACGGATGGGCTGCTTGCAGATTCAGCCCTGAACCCTAAATTGCAAACTTTGTGTACCATCAAGCCTCAGCCGAAGCTCGAAATCGTTAAGATGCCGTGGGAAGCTCAGATAGATGGCCCTTTTTCAACAAGCCCTGTCTCTGCCTGAACTTATAGTAAGACCTGAACATCAAGTCCGACGTCTCAAGGACAGGTACTCTCTTTGTCCAATCATCGGATTCGTAGTTCACGGAGTCCAGGGTATGGGGGTTCCGACGACCTGCCAAACCCTCTCACCTCAATTGTTCAATGACATATCAAGCATGAACCTTGCGGAACGAAGAAAAGGACCTCTAAAGCGACTATCGATTCTTGCTGCTAGCAGTAGTCTCAGTAGCATGATTGGCATTAAGCTTAATTCAGTATATATATATATATGCATATACATATATATATATACACATATATATATATATATATACACATACTTTTTGTATATATTCGAAGCTCCAGAAGCTGAAGCAGTTGATAGGAGCCCCTCTGTTGGGACCTACAGCAAGCAGCGCTCCATGCAACAGATGCTTTCTCTCGGACGAAGCCCGTACGTGCCGGCCACGGATTTCGCTTCTGAGAACCTCACAACCTTAACTTTGTGGGTTGATTTAAGAATCTTGTCATAAAGGGTTCTAAGTGCCACGATGGTACTTGTTGATTGCAGCTCTGAGGTTTGTCAGGATGCCTAATGTTGAGATTAAAGTTCAGTAAACAAATACAAATACAAATATTAACAAAATAAGCTAGAAAAACAGAAAGCGTCGTCTCCAGAAAAAACAAGCCAAACAAATAAACATACATTTGTTTCTCTCTCTCTCTCTCTCTCGCTCTCTCTATATATATATATACACATACAAATACGCACACATATATATATATATATATGTGCGTTTTGGCGTGTGTGGCAGTTTCCAGGGGGAATCCCTGAGTTTGGGGCCGAGTTGCTTGTAGGATTATCAGGGCTGAGATAGGGACACCCTCCATTGGCAGGCGCGAGGTCGTTTGGGCCTCGTCCAGGGCCCGACAGCTTTTGCTGCCAGGGACCCGCTGCGTTTCACCGGCCACTGAGTTGGAGGAGGCACCCTAAGGCTGAACCAGGGGGCCTCAACCAGGCGAGAAAACAAATGGAGGGGAGGGAAACCCCGCCCTGCTACTAGCTTTCCTTTTCCTGCTACTGCGACCACTGCGTTTACGAGGCAGTGAGGTGCACGGTTTAGACTTCCATAGGTTTTGCTCCTGCACCCTTGCACCATACTCTTTTCCAACACTTCCAGCAGCCCTGCAGACCACGAACCTAAAGCCTTCAAGCCCGAACAGAAACAACCAACCGAATTAGGAAATCTACAACTTACGACCTGGATCATCCTGGAGTCATTCAAAGTTGACATCATGCGCAATCAATTATACCGGAGTATACCCTCAAGCCACGTGAGCCCGTGACTTTGAGTCGCATCTGAACACTGCGAGGCCGAGTGTGGCGAATTTTTGGTGGGATTCTGAAGGGCTCGAGCTCTGGAGAGGAGCGGTTCGTGTGTAGACATCTTAGGTTTATATGCTTAGTTGGGTTCAGAGCAGAACCCGGCTCCAAGCTGTCATAGGCCATGCTCAGCGTAAGCCCGAAGCCCCACACCTTCGTGACCTACGCAGGGGAATCCAGCGAGGGAGGGCGTCAGGCGGCCACGACCCTGCCAGATCCTCAGCTAACTCATGCGTTCCGGCTTTCGTGCAGTCCATCCAATGATCCATCCGTCCGTGAGTGTTTCCGTCCACCCATCCATCATGCATCCATGCATGCATACATAGTTGCATTTGCATACATGTAAACATGCATGTACCTAGCCACCTACCTACCCACCCACCCACCGACCGACCCATCCACCCACCCACTCCACCCACCGACAGCTACCCCCCTCCTACCTATGTACGTAAGTAAGTACCAATGTGCATATACATATACATATTCCACACAGAAGGCATATGTAGCTACAAGACAGCAGAACATCGCTGAACATCACACAAGGTCGTATGTTATGGCCCAAGAAATACATGTGCAAATCAGCAGACGGGTAAGGGAGTATGAATACAGTTAGAAATATGAGAATGAATCAACAAGTACAAGGATAAGTGAACATCTTCAACAAGCGAAGACATACACATATGAATGAATATGTATATATATATATATATATATAGAATAGACGAATATATATATATATATATATATATATACGCATGTACACACACAATGAATATAAAGGAAACAACTCAGAAACCATATGTATATGTGTATATGTATGTGTAGCTGTCCATATCTAAATCTACATGCAGGCTTCATCCAATCTATACGCGCCACACGCCCCTGCATGCATGCGTACCCCAAAACCACGATCGTGCCTGCCGAGGCTTGGCGTGCCGGCGCCGATGGGCTCGGATCTCAATGAACAAGCATTTGCCATGAGCCTTGTTTTGTTGCTAGTGATGATGATTCTGTTTTGTTGTTTGGCAAGGTGGAGATGCAGTTGCTGGTGCTGATGATGAGCTTAATGATGATAACCGTGATGATGGTGATGATGATGGGCCAGCACTTGTTGGCCTGCTTGTCTCGCCATAATCATAACGCGGCTGGTGGGAAAGATTATGCGGCTGGAGGTGCTTTGACATGTCGCTGGCGAACACGATGCCTGCTGTCATGCCTGTTCGCGATGCGTGCAGCATAAGCTTTATCTCGATTCATGATTCGGAGGATGAGGATAAGCTGTGGACTGCTGTATAAATTCAGGCATGATGACATAGGCCGTGCAAGTGATAGCAACAACAGTGACGTAGCAGCGGCAGTTACAATATTGGCAGTGCTTGAGGAAATAACACCAGACACAGTTCGACAAAATGGTAGTATACCGCAGGCTTAAGACATTTGGTCCGGTGCCCACAACAAGAGGGTTTTCATCCGGCATGATTGCAGTTTTGGGCTTGATTCAGCTTCGTAAGAAACTGTCGTACTTGGTTGCTCCAAAAAGAGGGTTGGTTTGGGGTCAGCTTTCGGTTTTATGCATCGGCGGCCCCGTTTAAAGGAAGACATGGCATCGAAGAAGCCGCACATGTCATGACCTAATCGACATCGGGTACCACAGTTGACCTAATAATAATTAGGATCTGACAGCACCGAGCGTTTGATTTGTCCGAGCTTTCGAGGCCTCATTCTTGGTGCCTTCAGCTTGTTCATGCTAGTGGCCCGGCAGCAATATTGAAGACGACGGCCCTGAAACGTGGTGATGAAGGCTGAAGAACATAGAGCTTACCAGGATGCGGCTGATGTCAAGCAAGCTCAGCAAGGTTACTGTACATGTCACTGAATGACTGCCGCTTAGTACAGCCAACAGTATTGCCCCTGCTGGTGGTACTCAGTACTACTACCACCATCACCACGACGAAGACTGAAGCAACACGGACGTTATTGGCCCCCCTTCCAGCCCCCCACCCCCCACCCCTCCACCCAATCGCATGACCGACACGACGAAAGCCTTGATAATCCTCAGAAATAAACGAACCGCTAGCTACTACTACCACTACTACCACCGCTACTGGTACTACTACTACTACTACTACTACTACTACCACCACGACTACTACTACTACTACTACTACTACTACTACTATTACTGCTACTACTGCTACTACTGCTACTACCTACTGCTACTACGACTACTGCTACTACTACTACTACCACCACCACCGCCACTACTACTACTTCCCACTACCACTACCACTACTACTACTACTACTACTACCACTACTACTACTACTACTACTACTACTACTACTACAGTACTACTACTACTACTACTACTACTACTACTACGACGATTACCACTACTATATCGACTCTGCTACTACTATTACTGCTACTGCTATCGTTACTACTACCACTACTACTCCTGCCACTAGTACTACGACGACGACGACTACCACCTACTACTACTACTACTACTACAACTACTACTACTACTACTACTACTACTACTACTACTACTACTGCTACTACGACGACGACGACGACTACTTCTGCTGCGACCGCAGCTACAGCTCCTGCTGCTGCTGCAGCAGCAGACCACTACCCAACTACCCTTGTCATTGCAACTGAGTACGGTTAGCATCAGTTGAGTTGACAGCAGCAGCACATTCACTGCCGGGACAGTCATGGAAGAGATGCCTGAGCAGTTCATCCCGGAGTCTGAACTCTGACCTGCGGTTTTGCAGCTTAGTGTTATTACGATCCTGGTATTGGTATTTTCGAAGACAGAGTATGGACAGAGGCTTCCAATGGGGTTTCACATCTTGTGAATCGGAAGTGAAGGTTTTGGGACTCAGAGGCTCTCGAAGGCATCATTGACAAGCCTATGGGACCTATAGGCCCTAAAGTAGTTCCTTTTTGGGGTTCATATATAGAAACCTATAAGGTAGCCCCAAAAAGGAACTACTATGGGGGTTCTGGGTAAACCCAAACCCGCTTGTGTGATGCTTGAGCCCAGCGCTCTGCATCCAAAGGTACGTGTGCCTACATACATATTAAGAATTATGTGTGTATATATATATATATGCATATATATAGATATATATATATATACATATATATATATATTATACTTATATGTACAATTCGTATAATGTATAAAACTGTGTGTGTATACATGTGCAAATACACATCAAGCATGTAAGCATACACGTACATGTTCGTGTACATACGTCAAAAGTTCATAGGTTGGATTTTGCAGTCCAGTTCGCGATCTTCAACCGGATAAAACGCATGACCTAGAGGCAGGGCATCAGACTCGGCAGCAGCCGAGTAACTGAACTGAACTGTAAATTCCAGCTGTATTTGCACTCTTAGCTTGGCGTTTTTGACTGCAGGCCTCCAAAGCCCCGAACTGGAAGCTTTATATGAAAGGGCAGTACATAAAACCTATGGAGTCTATAGCATCCCCCAAAACCAAGCGCGAACTATCTCGAAGGTCCTGGTTTTCTTCCGTTCGCTGCCGACGTCGAGCGCTGTGACAGGCGGTGCTTCCCCGAGCATCAGGAGTTCATCAGCGAGTTTTAATTGTATCAGTGTGACGGTGGTGTTGGCGGGTGCTCGGGCAGGCTGCTGCCGCCAATTAGTGCTATGGCTGTGTTTTGTTTTGTCGCTGTGTTGTTATATGGTGTGTGTGTGTGTGTGTGGGAGTGTCTGTGAGTGCCGTTCGTGTGTGCAAGACCAACAGGCACATGAAATTCCTATGCCGAAAAGAACATATGGCTGCCGAGGTAAGGACCCTGAAAAAGCAGGGTCCTGAAGAGCCTAGCTGAAAAAAAGGTAGCCCTAGATCCCCCCCGTTTCTGTTGCCTTAACGCCAAGGCCCGAAGGCGTCGGTGGACCTTTCGCCGCTGACGAAACAGATCGAAGCGCTTCAGAGGTGGGCGGAAGATTCTGAATAAGGCTTCTGGGATTCTGGCTGGAGGGCTTGTGTTTAAGTTCAGGCTATAGGGCTCGGTGGCTTTCGGGCTAGTTTGGAATCGGGGTAGGGTTTAGGGGGTTGTCACGCTTTACGAACCAGGTTGCAGGCTGTTCATGGGGTTGAGGGTGCTTCTCGGGCTCACCTTATGGAGCCGCAACGGAGACCTTAACACACCACGTTCCGGCTTCCAAGCACACCACATGAGTTTGGAGCAATCATGCAGAAGAAATTCTGCCTTTGTGGGTTGAGCGCGTTGCGGGCTCAGAGTTTAGAGCTTCAGGATTTAAGCTCTAGAGGTTTGAGGGCTTCAGAGTTTAGAGTTTATAGAAGTTTTTACGGCTGACCTGACATAATTGATTAGTGCCTAAGCTTGAGAGAAGGCCCTTCAAGGAGAACATGAGCGGCACACGCACAGAAACACACACACCCACACCCACACCCGCACCCACACGCGCACCCACACGCACACGCACACGCACACGCACACGCACACGCACACGCACACCCACACCCCCACCCACACCTACACACACACACACACACACCCACACACAGACACACACACGCACACGCACACGCACAC